CATCTGCATGTCATACTGCCTGACAGTATTATTTCTCTTCCCCAGCAGACTCCAAGGGCATTTAAATTAAAGGTACAGTGTTCAGCACTAATATTAAGTCTCTCTGAAGCCTAGAAACACCCTTTTTTAAGTTAAATTCATAGCGAATATATTCGACTCGAATCGAATTTTTTCTACGAATTCGCCGAATCAGTCGAATCGAATTTTTGAATACTTCGCTCATCTCTAATTATCACGTTGGAATGAATTTATGGACTTTCATTAATTAGTCACTTATTAATTTGTTTATTATCAGCGCCACTGAATAACTTAGGGTTCATTTGTTGTTTGTAGGATTTATTTCACTTAAGGTGGCAGCAGTTTTTATTTAGGTATATTGTATTGTATTTATTTCATTTTGTATAATTTGCACGCATCTAGTGTGAACGTTTTTTTTCACATATTATTAATTTCACTTCACGTTAGTTTTGAATAATCTTCTGTAAATAGAAGAGTACCGTATTTTTCGCTCCATAAGACGCACCTGACCATAAGACGCACCTAGGTTTTAGAGGCAGAAAACAAGGAAAAAAAATATTCTGAACCAATGGACTGCAGCCATAGTACAGGAAATGACCAGAGACTGCAGACATAGTACAGGAAATGACCAGAGACTGCAGACATAGTACAGGAAATGACCAGAGACTGCGGACATAGTACAGGAGATGACCAGAGACTGCGGACATAGTACAGGAAATGACCAGAGACTGCGGACAGTACAGGAGATGACCAGAGACTGCGGACAGTACAGGAGATGACCAGAGACTGCAGACATAGTACAGGAAATGACCAGAGACTGCAGACATAGTACAGGAAATGACCAGAGACTGCGGACACAGTACAGGGGATGACCGGAGACTGAGGACATAGTACAGGAGATGACCAGAGACTGCAGACATAGTACAGGAAATGACCAGAGACTGCAGACATAGTACAGGAGATGACCAGAGACTGCGGACACAGTACAGGAGATGACCAGAGACTGCGGACATGGTACAGGAGATGACCAGAGACTGCAGACATAGTACAGGAAATGACCAGAGACTGCAGACATAGTACAGGAAATGACCAGAGACTGCGGACATGGTACAGGAGATGACCAAAGACTGCAGACATAGTACAGGAGATGACCATAGACTGCTGACATAGTACAGGAGATGACCAGAGACTGCAGACATAGTAAGGAGATGACCAGAGACTGCGGACACAGTACAGGAGATGACCAGAGACTGCAGACATAGTACAGGAGATGATCAGAGACTGCAGACACAGTACAGGGATGACCGGAGACTGCAGACACAGTACAGGAGATGACCAAAGACTGCAGACACAGTAGAGGAGATGACCGGAGACTGCAGACATAGTACAAGAGATGACCAGAGACTGCGGACACAGTACAGGGGATGACCGGAGACTGCAGACATAGTACAGGAGATGGCCAGAGACTGCGGACACAGTACAGGAGATGACCGGAGACTGCGGACACAGTACAGGGGATGACCGGAGACTGCGGACACAGTACAGGAGATGACCGGAGACTGCGGACACACTACAGGAGATGACCGGAGACTGCAGACACACTACAGGAGATGACCAGAGACTGCGGACACGGTACAGGAGATGACCAGAGACTGCGGACACGGTACAGGAGATGACCAGAGACTGCGGACACGTTACAGGAGATGACCAGAGACTGCGGACACAGTACAGGAGATGACCAGAGACTGCGGACACAGTACAGGAGATGACCAGAGACTGCGGACACAGTACAGGAGATGACCAGAGACTGCGGACACAGTACAGGAGATGACCAGAGACTGCGGACATACTAGAGGAGATACAATAAACAATATAAGTATCCTCCTGCGCTCCACAGACTGCCTACATATAGCTAGCTGCTATCATCTACACCCTATACCATGGGACACACAGGATAAATATTAAAATATGGATGAAGCGCTCTGCTATAATAGTGCTATATACAAAATCAAAATATTATACACCTATATAAAATATAAAAGTGACTAGTGCCTAAATAATATATGTGTTAAAGATATATAAAAAAAATTTATATATAAATTTTAATATAACCAGTCTGCCCTCAAGTGGCTAAAACTGGTTATACATGTGCACACACAACTGAATAGAAAGTGACCAAGTGCTTAAATACATAAATAGTGTCTTATTAAATATAATAAAAAATCACAGTGAATAATCTTCAAAAGTGCCAAGTGTTTAAACAGCAATCAATATACATAAAGTATAATCATGTGCAAAAAATCATGCTATCACTCTTCTGTGAGGAAATAAAAGTGCTTCTTCATTCAAATAGTGCTCAGACCAAGGTGTCACTCCAGTGAATCAATCCTAAATATCCAGAGTGCCTCCTCACCTCCAACATTCGACCCCTAGAGATCACAAATCATTTATTTAAATGATATTTCAAAAACGACACCAGGATATAACTTGCCCCACGATTCAAAATCTCAATATATACGATGCCTCAGCCATATGTCCATGGACCATGGAAGATTTAAGCACAAAGAGAGATCTCCATAGCGCAATATGTAGTTTTATTAGGAAAAAAACACAGAGATGGAAAACCCACATGCTCTTAGAAGTATACAGGCGGTTCCCCCATATCCTACGGGTGTGATAGGAAATCACGTTTGCCGAAAACCGGAAGTACGTCACTGGAAATGCGTCACCGAGCTCCACCCGGAAATTACGTCATTTCCGGGTGGAGCTCGGTGACGTATTTCCGGTGACGTACTTCCGGTTTTCGGCAAACGCAATTTCCTATCACACCCATAGGATATGGGGGAACCGCCTGTATACTTTTCCATCTCTGTGTTTTCCAGAGTTTTCCATCTCTGTGTTTTTTTCCTAATAAAACTACATATTGCGCTATGGAGATCTCTCTTTGTGCTTAAATCTTCCATGGTCCATGGACATATGGCTGAGGCATCGTATATATTGAGATTTTGAATCGTGGGGCAAGTTATATCCTGGTGTCGTTTTTGGAACATCATTTAAATAAATGATTTGTGATCTCTAGGGGTCGAATGTTGGAAGTGAGGAGGCACTCTGGATATTTAGGATTGATTCACTGGAGTGACACCTTGGTCTGAGCACTATTTGAATGAAGAAGCACTTTTATTACCTCACAGAAGAGTGATAGCATGTTTTTTTGCACATGATTATACTTTATGTATATTGATTGCTGTTTAAACACTTGGCACTTTTTAAGATTATTCACTGTGATTTTTATTATATTTAATAAGACACTATTTATGTATTTAAGCACTTGGTCACTTTCTATTCAGTTGTGTGTGCACATGTATAACCAGTTTTAGCCACTTGAGGGCAGACTGGTTATATTACAATTTATATATAAATTTTTTTTATATATCTTTAACACATATATTATTTAGGCACTAGTCACTTTTATATTTTATATATGTGTATAATATTTTGATTTTGTATATAGCACTATTATAGCAGAGCGCTTCATCCATATTTTATTATTTATACTAGAGGAGATGACCAGAGACTGCGGACACAGTACAGGAGATGACCACAGACTGCGGACATAGTACAGGAGATGACCACAGACTGCGGACATAGTACAGGAGATGACCAGAGACTGCGGACATACTAGAGGAGATGACCAGAGACTGCAGACATAATACAGGAGATGACAAGAGAGTGCGGACACAGTATAGGAGATGACCAGAGACTGCGGACACAGTACAGGAGATGACCAGAGACTGCGGACACAGTACAGGAGATGACCAGAGACTGCGGACATACTACAGGAGATGACAAGAGACTACGGACACAGTATAGGAGATTACCAGAGACTGCGGACACAGTACAGGAGATGACCAGAGACTGCGGACATAGTACAGGAGATGACAAGAGACTGCAGACACACTACAGGAGATGACAAGAGACTGAGGACACAGTATAGGAGATGACCAGAGACTGTGGACACAGTACAGGAGATGACCAGAGACTGCGGGCACAGTATAGGAGATGACCAGAGACTGCGGACACAGTACAGGAGATGACCAGAGACTGCAGACATAGTACAGGGGATGACCAGAGACTGCGGAAATAGTACAGGAGATGACCAGAGACTGCGGACACAGTCGGGTGCCCACACTAAAGATGCCAGCGCTGGGAGAGAAGACCGTGAGTACAGCACTGGACTGCGGAATAGGTAAGGTTAACAGCTGGGTGCCCACACTAAAGATGCCGGCACCGGGAGAGAAGACCTTGAGTACAGAGCTGGACCGAGGAACAGGTAAGGTTCTGCTGCAGAGAAGAGCCAAGAGGCCGGCCTGGTAATCTGACATGGCAGTGGCGGGAATACCAGGCTGGCCGCTCTATATTCACTCTATAAGATGCACAGACAGTTTCCCACATTTTTTTGGGGGGGGGGGAAAGTGTGTCTTATGGAGTGAAAATTACGGTAAATACTTCTGTTAATTTTTTTTGCTGCCTGTAACCAAACTGTAACAAAGATTTACTGCCATACCAGTGCAATTTGTGAATTGAAATCACACTTAATGAATGTGAATGTCAGTGTCTTAACATGTACAATACGCTGCAGTGTGATTTCTAAAGTAGTTCCTGCATTACTATTTCTGCAGTTGTGTTGCGATTTCACATACATAGAATACAATGGAAATCGCACTACAAATTGCAAGAAATCGTTAAAAATCTTCATAAGTAGCAATAAAGTCTTCAGAAATCGCTCCTGAAGTTGCGCTAAAATTGCACATAAATCTCACCGGTGACTTAACCTCACTTCCTGTCCCTGCAACTGCACCAGAACAAGAAAACATGAACAGTAATTATAGCCTGATAGAGGTTCCAACCTTTCTTCATTGTACTGAAAAATGTGTTTTGCTGATGTTCTGTCCCCATTGGAGAATTCTCCCATCATATCCTGTCCCATAAAAAAAGAAAATGTCCCCAAATGAGGACACAAATCATAAATAAAATGCTCACAAAGGTTAGCTCAAGTAGTTACATTCAATTGGACTTGTTCTGTTATGTGGAGGACATTTAACTACTCATCTAAGTACTGTACCTTTCAACAGAACTGAGGAAGCCACTTGGATAAGTGCCGAAATATCTTCAACATTTTAGAACAAGTGAAGTTGAAATTGACTACCTAGCTATATCCTTACCAGGGGCGGACTGACCATTTGGAAACTCGGGCACTGCCCGAGGGCCCGGGGTCAGTAGGGGGCTCCATGAGATGCCCCTGGTACCTTTTTCATAGGCTTTTTTGAGTTTGGGCAAGGACACAGGGGCCACATGATCCCCTATTGCCCAGGGGCCCCATGAGTTGTCAGTCCATCCCTGATCCTTACCCTTTAAAAAATGAGAAGTAATTGTGAACCTTCACAGATATAATGAACATTTATGGGTTGACTGAATAAATGCAAATGTGATGTGAATGCGATGAAATTTAACTTTGCAAAGAATGCCCAATCACATGCATGGCAGATAGAACATTTTTGCTTGCACATGATTGGATGAGGGAAGTCAGAAGACCTTTACCTCATTCATTGTTTAACATGGAGGAACCCTTGAAATCACTTTCCAGTCTCAGGGAATCCTTGTAATAATTACTACATCTACAGCTCATCAAATGTTAGTGTGGAAGTCAGTGGGAAAATGCTCCTTACATTTGTGGTCAGTTGAAAGCATCTAGATCAGCCTTTCTCATCCAGGGTGCCTGGAGGATTCTTCAGGGGTACCTTGGCAAAATGGCTAAAAATTGCCCAAAACAGGTATACAAACCAACGGGTGGAACAAGTTATATAAAGTCATAGGTTTTCATTGTGCATTTGACTTTCTAGCCGCCGGCGTCCTGACAACCCATGACATCTTCAGGTGATGAGGAGGATGTCATCTGCCTGTGCAGCATCCTAGTTTGACCATCCCCTGCCCCTCTCCGTCAGTGCTGGGGTCACATTAGATCAGTGATGGAGAAAAACTGAGGGAGAGGAAAAACATTGGAATACTAGCCAGTACCAGTGTGCAAAAGTGTATTTGCTTTGGAAGAATAACTCACCTCTAATGTTGGTTGTCCTACATGTGTGAATGTTGCTGCATTATACTGTATAAACTTATCAGAATTTTAGAATGGGGTGCCTCAAAACTGTCCATAATTTAAAAGGGTGCCTTGACTGAAAAAAGGTTGAGAAACACTGATCTACTGTAGATAGCTAAAAAGATCATTGGTGTCAATGGGCACTTACTACAGAAAGTGCTCATTGCTCAAGGAAACCTAGCAACTACTGGAGGAGCTTTAGGAATCCACAGAACCCTGGTTTAGAAAGGCTTCCCCAGGGTCATATTTATAAAGTGGGAAATAATTGGTTCTCTGATCATTTGCTAGTTATACACTACCAAATGGCCACAGATCAGTCACTGCAGATTTCTGGCACATTTGCCATCTGTGCTATCACCAGATTAATATAGTTTACTGAATATCTGCATTTGCTATTCTGGAAACAGAAATTAAGGTCACAGTTCGCTTTTTCGGGGCTATTACAGCCATAGGCACCCTTGGTGTACTTTACAAACAGAAGGGATAAGAGGCACATGGTGTGGCAGTCCATGTATGTTTGATGAGTTCCAAGTGGACAGGGGTGAAGGTAGTCCAGTAGGCACTAAGGGCAAGCTGAGTAGGAGCGAAGCATAACTCTGTAGAAGGGAAACAAAGAAATACAGTGCCTCTAAGTGTGTACTGTGAAGGTATTTAATAGAAAGATAAGTAGTAACTCACATCTTAGAACTTAAAAACAGGCTCATGGGTAAGAGGGTGAGACGTCTGTAGCCAGATGTTGTTGTGTGTATGATCCAGAGAGGAGATTGATTGCGTCCGTCAGCAGGTGGTGCTGTGCATGTGCAACATGGATGGTAAGCCTGGCGGAATCTCTAAAGTGTCTGCCAGCAGATGGTGCTGTGCATATGCAGCATGGATGGTGGAGCCTGGCAGAGTCTCCAAGACGTCCGGGTTCAGCACATGTGGCGTCTGACGTCATTAAAATGCAACATGTTGGGGAACATGTGCAGGACGAGATGAGTCCAGGCACACTCTTTCATCAGGCCTGATATTTTTAAATTCTAAGATGTGAGTTACTACTTATCTTTCTATTAAATACCTTCACAGCAGGGGCAGACTGACCATTTGGAAACTCGAGCACTGCCCGAGGGCCAGGGATCAGTGAGGGGCCCCATGAGATGCCCCTGGTACCTTTTTCATAGGCTTTTTTGAGTTTGGGCAAGGACACAGGGGCCCCATGATCCCCTATTGCCCGGGGGCCCCATGAGTTGTCAGTCCGCCCCTGCTTCACAATACACACTTAGAGGCGCTGTGTTTCTTTGTTTCTACTTTACAAACAGGAATATTAGTCTTGTGTTTGTTAGCATCCACTTTTAGGAACTGCCATTGATTTTCACTATCATGGTGGTGAACAGCCAGTAAATGTACATAATTCTGAGCCCTGCAAATGTTATCTGCTATCCATAAATATGCTGTTTTCTGTAAAAACAGTGCATTTTTACCACTATATTTTTTAAGTAGATTTGTGCTGATAAATATGTCAATCTCCTCACTTAAACCTCTAATTTAAATTTTATTTTTTTTGTATGCTAATCCAAAAACTCTTTAAAACAATCATTGTTTTAGCACGTCATCTGTAGCATTGATCTCTACAAAGTTCATCCTGTGTAATCTTTATATGTCTTTACTTTTCAAGATGACCAGAGTCAATGTTATATTATCCTGTATGTGGGATTAGGCTTTGCGGTCCTTCTCCTAGTGATACATCAGATCATCCTTGCCAAAAGATGGAGAAGCTTGTGTAAAAAGCGTCCAAACAAGCAGACTCGATCTGGTGAGTTTATGCCAAATATAGATACCTAGATTTATCTTTATGCAGCCACTGAGACTAAGGCCCCTTTCACGCAGGGCAGAATTCGCTTGCAATCCACTTGCTGGGGAATCTGGAGTGGGCAGATGACAGTTCAATGGGTGATTGAATGTACACAGACCAGCTGTTCATTTACACTTGACTGCCCTCCAATCAGTCCAGATAGAGGGGAATGGATCCCCTTCTGCTTGTTTTCAGTGGATCGGATTGGAGGTAGGTGGGTGTAAATAGATTCAAGTCCATTTTCATCCATAAAGGAGAATAGAGGGTTCAATTGGCTCCATCTGAAAAACAGACAGGTGGACCTGATCGGACCGCTCATGTGAATTGTTTGAAAAAGTAAATTGTTTAAAAAGTGCCTATTTGCAAACCATATTTTCCCACAATTTCTTCAACATGTCCAGGGAAGACATGTTTCTCTGAAGCCAGGTGATAGTCCCTCTGTTAAAACTGGTATGTGAGCAGCCAGGCAGGAGACTAATAGCACCCAGTTTCTCTAGAAGACCCAGCTACTGTGGAAGAGCCTCCCTAATTGCTACCATAGTCCTTTAGTTTCAATAGGGTGGTCCTTTTGTGTCCTTGGGTCTGGGATTCATCCAGCCTTTTTAAAGAACCTACCCTGGACTTCACTGAGCAGGATGCTTTTTGGAAAGCTAAACACAAGTTTTTTTTTTGTGTTCTGAACTGTTTTCCTGAAGTCGTGATTTCCAGTTAGACTGTCAGTGGGTAAATGTGCACTGAGAATAAACATAAATTTCACTTTTTGCACACATTTTGACCCTCCCCCCCTCCCCAAAGCTATTACTTATCACTGTCATTTGTCTCCCTATCACTTAACCTGCCCTTTCCCCTAAACTTAACACCTAACCTAAACCACCCAATAAAAATTAAATGTAATGCCAAAACTTTTTAATTTCGGAGAGAGTGAAAAGATCTCCCCAAAGATAGGGTATATTCCTGCTTAAATCACTGTCACCAGAACAAGGTTCCCCATTGGATGATTTCCCTTCAACTCCAGTCCTGTGACAACTGAAATTTTGGATTTCCCATCGCTTTCTGCATAAATCACCATGACAAAAGGAAACAGTGAATCTTCCCCATGGGGTCATAGCATGAAATACCTGATACAGATTCTATCCCTTCCATATTCTAACTTAAAAAAATGTCTTACATATGCTTTAAATTCCAAGTAAATAACCATGAGCAGCTAACCTATTTCAGATCCTTAAGCTGATTCCTAAAATTTACAACTTTAAAGAAGAAGTACAGCCAATGTTTTTTTGGACTGTACTTCCTCTGTGGATCACAGGAGTGCAGTTTGTTCTGCGTTAATGCAACCCGTATTCAAAGTCGGGATTCACCCCAGAGTCTGGAGCAGCACCTGGCTCAGCCAAAAAAACTGAGAAACCCTTCAACCATCTTATATTAGGCTGTTCAAGCCTTTACCTCATTTGAATATCT